CATACAAACAAAGATGTTGTGTCCGCAAAAAAAAAAAAAATGAATATTAAAAAAACTTCTCTCTTAAAAAAAAAGTACAATGATAAAACAATCATGGAAAAAACTAGCAGATCTGAGTGAAGGGTATATGAGTTCTCTTGTACTATTCTTATTACTTTTCCATAAGTCAGAAATTATTTCAAAAGAAAAGTTTTGTTCCATATTTTTAATAGTGAATTATAGTTGTATATAATGATGGGATTCGTTGTTACATATTCATACATGCACACAATATAACAATATAATTTGGCCAATTTCATTCACCAATGTCACCTTCTTCCCTTCTCTCCTCCCTCCTCCTATTCTCTTTCCTCTACTGATTTCCCTTCAAGTTTCTTGAGATTCCCCCCTCTTTAAAATTTTAGTTTTTTTAAAAAGCTAATGAGGGGGGCTGGGGATATAGCTCAGTCAGTAAAGTGCTTGCCTTGCATGCACAAGGCTCTGGGTTCAATCTCCAGCACCACCAAAAAAGAAGCTAATTAGGAATTTAAAAAAAAAAAAAAAACTTGACTAATCCAGAGAAGAGCAGATAAAGAATAAAGGATCAGGGCTGGGGTTGTAGCTTAGCAGTAGACATGCTTGCCTAGCATGTGCAGGGCGCTAGGTTCCATCCTCAGCACCAAATAAAAATAAAATAAAGGTATTATGTCCATCTACAACTAAAAAATATTTATATTTAAAAAATATTTAAAAAAGAATAAAGGAACAAAATCAGATGGGCAAAGAGAAAAGAAGTAGCAAGGTGGTAAGACTTAAATCAATTATATTAGTAGTTATATTACATCAGTAATTTTATCAGTTCATTTTTACTTAGTAAAATATCTGAGGCCGCTAACCTTATAAAGAGGTTTATTTATTTTATAGTTTTGGAAATCCAAGGATAAATCACCAGTATTGCTCTGCTCTCATGAGGACCCCATGGTTGATGTCGTCACAGTCACCAGAAGAATGCCAGAGAGGCTAGTGTTCCATGACCTCTTCCAAGGGCACATGCTTTGCTCACCTGAAGTCCTCCCACTTGGCCCCACTTCAGTTTCCACACCATCATCATCACATTGAAGGTCAAGATTTCAACACATGAGCCTTGTGTATGTGTGTGTAAAAGGGTGGATGTACTGAAATATCCAAACCATAGCAGCAATTATAAAATAGTAAATCCAGTAATATTTGTAATTACATAAATAGTAAATGCTAATTACATTACTAATTAGTAAATAAGGCAAATGTAAGTAGAATAAATTTTTCAATTAAATGACAAAGATTATTAAACTATTAAAAATAAGACCCAACTATATTACTTATAAGAGACACATTTTTAAATATAGGATATGGATAAGTTGAAAAAGAAAGCATAAAAAAAGATATACTATACAAACATTAATCAAGAGGAATGAAGGAGTGGTCAACTATGTCAAAAGGTACAGAAAAATCTAACACGATAAACAAAGATACTTGACTTTGGCCCTAATTATATTATTATTGTGTCTTGGTTGAATGTCACTGCAACGAAGTATTGGAGATAAATGCTCAATTGGAGTGGGTGAGAGAATGAGAAATTAAGTTTGGGAAAGAGAATAAAGACACTTTGATGTAAAAGGAAACACAAAAATCAGATGGTAGCTAGAGTAAGACTGAGGTCAAGAAATCTCATCAAACGTATCAGAAAAGAAGGCAGGATATATGAGCTTGAATACAAAGAGAGCAATAGCTCCTATAGGTGTCAATGGAATGTATGAGAAGGGAAATCATTAAGTAGATATTTGAGGATGAGGAGATCTTGGAAAAGGGGAATATAGCTGGGAAAGGTAATAGGATACTTGTGGTGAATGCTGTGTTAGCTTTCTGTTACTGCAACAAATTCCTGAAGTAATCGATTTACAAGGGAGGAAAAAGTTCATCTTTGTTCACAGTTTCAAAGGTTTCAGTCCATGTTGTTGGACCCTTTTGCTTTGGGAGCATGTAGCAGAGGAGACCTATTCACTTCCTGGGAGCCCAAATGCAGAAAGAGAAGGAGAATGGCATCTCAAATTCCTTCAAGGACATACCCCCAGTGCCCTAACTTCCTCTTACTAGACCCCACCTCTTAAAGGTTCCACCACCTCTCAACAAAGCCACAGGCTGGCAATCAAGTCTTTTAACACATGGGCCTTGGGGAGATACTTATCCAAATCATAGCAAATTCTAATCTGACTTTGTGATCATGAATTAGAATTGAGTCTAGTCAGCTCAATTGCAGGATTTTAGAGTTGGATTATTCCAGGCAAGTATAGCAGAGGGGAAAAGGAGCAAGGGATTAAGCAAGACTGTAGTAACAGTATTGAACAATGAAATCTAGACAAGAAAGAAAATAAGAACTCAGTTGTGGAATGCTTAGAGAAAAGTGGTAGGGTTAGAAGATTGGATGAAATCAGAGAATTGCAGGAATGAGGAAGAAGAGAAAGTGATTGTGTCAGGAATAGGATATTTGATTTGAAATCAAATGGTGGGAGGAGTTGCAGTTATTGGTGATAATAACTTGGATATGACCATATGATCTGATAGTTGGAGATGGGGAGAAAATGACTGAAGGTAGTCACTTAGAAACCAGAGTGATAAATCATCTGTGTGCAGGTTAAAGGTGCCAAGAATAATGAACAGGAATAATGGTAGATAGAGGTGATAAAATAATTAATCATTAAAGAGATGACCAGTCAGATGACAGAAATGAGGAAAATTATAGGCATGAAATTCTGAGGACAGTCCTTTAAAGGACAGAAAAAAGTTTGGGTAGATATATACACCAGTAACCCAAGAGGGTCAGTATGGAAATAGCCAATCACACATTGGCTTAGTGCTTAAGAATGATTTAAATGTCTTTCCCCAACTGCATGTCCATGCAAAGGAGTCTTGCAGCTGTGCTGGTTTTGAGTTGGCTGAGCAAATCAGGGAGGAAAAAGAATGAGAGGATGTAAAATCAAACCCACATGACTACACCAACAGAAACATCCTCAGTGAAGAACACTACAATTTCTTTAGTTTCTAAGGGAAGATGATGGGCTTGGTTTTGAGTATTTTGTACCCTTTCTTTTCACTTGTATTATTAAATTTGGGCTAATTTTTGGGGGGAGAGGTATGGAGAATGAACTCAGGGGCACTCAACCACTGAGCCACATCCCTAGCACTATTTTGTATTTTATTTAGAGACAGGGTCTCACTCTCACTGAGTTGCTTAGCACCTTGTTGTTGCTGAGGCTGGCTTTGAATTCTCAATCCTCCTGCCTCAGCCTCCCAAGCCGCTGGGATTACAGGCATGGGCCACCACGCCAGCTAAATTTGGGCTAATTATTAACGTGCATTTTCCATTTTCACAAATACGTTAAAACTTCAGGGGAATTCACTGTAAAAAAGAACAAAACCATTTGCAACTGTTTATAAGACTTTGCGTCACTGTTAAATCTCACAGATGAATTTTGTATTCTACCAAATGGATAAGCATTTTCAGTATTTGTGATCTTGTACAAAATGAAAACTGTTGGAGACTAATATTTTCTTTCCTACTTCCAAGATAATCAGGAAGAAGTAGGAAGTTGTTTTGTTATCAGACAATGGGAGATATTTTGTCAAATACATAAAATATTCTGTGTTACCATAATATGAAAGGCTGTTGTAATAAGACATAGTGATTATTCCCATGAAACTCTTGTAATGATACTCTCTCTCTTAAAGGACTTCCAGGTTTTTTTCCAAATAGAAAATAAGCAGTATTTGAGTACTAATGCTTTTATTCCCATTTTACCGGAAAGGAAACAAACAACATGAACAATTTATCTGCTATCAGAGAAAATATTTTATAACCCAAAATAAATGTTTACTCACTAACAGCTGTAAATTGCTTAAACTGGAGATTTCAGAGGAATTTTTCACAGTAAATAAAATGATTACTAAATTCTTCAGTTACAGAACATTCAAGGCATGTGTTTTTTCTACACAGCTTAACTGAAATGTAGTTTAACCAATGGTTTACAATTTAGTCAAATAACAAAGCTGCAAACCACTGAGGGAGTCATAAATTATATCCTTTGCACTTTCAAAAAGCTTTCAGCTGGTATTGATCATTTGTTTTTATTTTCGAAGCATAACAGCTTTAACATAATTATATTCATTAGTCTGACACCTAGAAAGCAATGAGCATTGATTTGTACAATGAACAAATGAGCAAGTTTTCTTGTGTTCTTGAATTATAATTCCTTCATTTGAGTATATTCAATTTATTCACATAATATTAGGTTCATTTTACGACTGGGGCACTTAGAATTTAGTTAACAAGGGGTAGGAAATCTCCAACATTGTAATAATAGACAAGTGATGCCCACCTACAGCCAAAACCGTCCGATGGGGAAGTATATAATTCTTTGCTTTCAGAGATGATAAAGAGGCACATGATCATTGTATGGGTGTTTAGGAGAAAGGAGAAACGGACTCCCCTCACTGCAATAAAAAATAGATATTTCAAAAATTTCTAATGTTTCTTCCAACTAATGTTTCTTCCGTATTAGCTCTAAAGAGACTCTAGGTTTTGAGTTCATCCTTTTCGCAGGTGGCCCATTCTATCCTTGGATTACTTTAATTCCTACAGAAATCATTTTCCTGAGCCAGAATTCGCCTCCCCCAACTTCATTCTGTAGGCCTCACTTGTCTGCTCTGGAGACCTCTAGGCCAGTTACCACCTCCTTCTTCAGCCAGTCAGGACCGCACCAGTCCACGGGGCAGTGCCAGATCCACTCTTCCTCCTCCTCCAGGACACACAGCACAACCAACAGTCTGCAGCTCTGAGACACCGGGCACCTCGAAGCCATACAGCCGCCGGGTCCCAATCCACGAGGTGTGGAGCCCTCAGTTTGTGTGGCTTTTAAATTTTATTTTAGCTAAGGAATCGCTGCATAACACCGTATCATAACAAACGTGAAAACATTTTCGGGGAGATGTTGGGAACACTGGTGAGTACATTTCACGAGGGACAAAATGTTTGACATTTCTGGAGGCCAAGGGTGCAGCGCCGCTCCGTGTCTGTGAACCCGGGCTGCGTCCGCGTCCTTCGGTGCCCAGGAGACGCCGACGCAGGGGTCTGACAGGGCGTCAGGTTCCGGGACCCACTGGCCGGCCCCAGCGTCCCAGGCCGGGAGCCCACGCGGGCCGGGCGCCGGGGGCGGGCGGATGACGGCGTGGGGGCGTGGGTCTGCGAGGCGGCGGGTCCGAGCGTCGCTGGCACGGGGCGGGCTCCCTCGCTGGCCGGCAGGCGCGGCGCGCGGAGCAGGGGGCTGGCGCGGGGATGGCGCACCCGGGGGTAAGCGGCGCGGGCGGCGTCACAGGCACTCGCAGCCCGCCGCGCAGCAGCCCGGCAGGCACACGCACACGTGCACGCGCGCCCCGCACCCGACCCCCTCGCGGCCCCGGGCTCGGGGCGGCGGCGGCGGCAGGGGTCGGGGGCGCGCGGGCCGGCGCCGGGCGGGGCCCCGGGGACCCCGCGGGCGGCGGGCGGGCGGGGAAGGCGCTCGGGGGCCGGTCCGCGCGGCACCCATTCTCGGGAAAGGCCTCACGGTCTGCGGTGCGGCGCGGGGCGCCCGCGGGCTCCAGACGCCGCGGGCGGGACGCTGGCGCGGGGCGCTGGGCGCAGGCGGGCTCCTCCGGCGGGCGCTGAGCGCGGCCTGTCCCACAGGTCTGGATGCTTGTGGCTGGCTTCCTGTGGGCGCTGTCACCAGGCCGGGCGGCGGGCGCGCTGAGGACGGGCAGGCGCCCGGCGCGGCCGCGGGGCTGTGCGGACCGGCCCGAGGAGCTCCTGGAGCAGCTGTATGGGCGGCTGGCAGCGGGCGTGCTCAGCGCCTTTCACCACACGCTGCAGCTGGGGCCCCGCGAGCAGGCGCGCAACGCGAGCTGCCCGGCAGGGGGCAGGCCCGCGGACCGCCGCTTCCGGCCACCCACCAACCTGCGCAGCGTGTCACCCTGGGCATACAGGTGAGCGGGGCCGAGTTGAGCGAGAGGGTTGGGGCGGGATCGGGTCTTGCGGGAGCAGGTGGGGCGGGGCAGGGTGGGGCAGATGGGGCGGGGCCAAGCCTTGTGGGAGACAGGTAGGGAGGGGCGGGGCCACACAGGACAGGACTGATGGGGCAGGTAAGGGGGTTGATGCGGAGCTGGTGGAACAGCGGGGTTCAGAGCAAGTCATTTCTACAAAGGCCTGCCACACTTCCTTGTAGAAATACTGCTTCGCCTTGTTTTATCTTACATTATTTCTTATGCATCATATATTTTGAGCACCTATTCTTTGTCAAGTATGTAGTTAAATGGGTTCCATGAAGAACCAACCCAGGGATCCTTTATTAATTTGGGGTTCTTCGTAGGAGGCCTGTTGAAGTTGGAATGTGGAAGTCTGCAGACATTTCTTGAGAGCCTGTGTGATCTCGGCTGCTTGACATTGAGCCCTGAGAGGTACCCTCTCAGAGCCATTTAGCTTACAGTCTTGGGGAGTAGAAGAAATAACTGGGAAGGAAATCATAATAAAAGGCAGAATATGACAGGACTCGGAAAGTTTCAAATGCATGGTGGTTTAAAGGTGGGTGTGGGGGAGTTGCATTTTGGGGAATGAAAATGGCCCTCAAAATGAAGAATGAGCAAGATTCTGAGATTGACCTAGAAAAGAAATCTGTTACAGTTTGGATCTAGATGGTCCCCCTGAAGATCATGTTTTGAAGACTTTGTCCCCAGTGCAGCAATGTCCTGAGGTGGAGCTTTGGGGGAAGTGACTGGGTCATGAGGGTTCCAACTTCATTAGTGGATTAGTCCATTGGTAGCTAATGGCCCCTTTCTCAGTCTCTTTTCACTTCCTGGCTGCCATGAGCTGAGCAGTTTTCCTCTGCCGCATCTACCCTTCCACCATGATGTTCTGCCTTACCTCAGGCCCAAAGCAATGGAGATAACCATGGACCTAAACCTCTGAACTGGAGCCAGAATAAACCTTTCTTCCTTATTATATCAGGTATTTTGGTCACATCAACAAAAAAGTGATTAACACTAGGTCATTTTGGAAGAAAGGAGGAATATGCTAAAAAGGAAGGCTGAGGAATGTTGGGAATGCGCGGTGAGGTTGAGCTACGGTGTTCTCTGCAGACTGGAGTGATGTCCCCTGGCCTCTAGAGGAGGGGCTCCCAATGTGGCAGGAGAAGACAAGAACAGACCTAAAGAGGGAGCTCTCACACTGTCCAGAAAGGGCTGCATCTTGGTTGATGAGAAACCAAGTGATGAGTTGGTTTGAAGGGAAGGACTGCTTATGGCAAGAGAGAAGAAAAAGCATGGTGTCCACAGAGAGCCTAGCTCTCTGAGGAGCAGGGTGAGTGTGTCATGGGGAGGCTGTGCTCAACACTTAAGCAGTGTTCAATGCTTGAAACTTACCTAATAGAATGTTTTGTTCTGTGGTGCTGGGGATCAAACCCAGGGTCTTATATATGCTAGGCAAGTGTTCTACCACTGAGCTACACCCCCAGCCATGTAAAAATACTTTGGATCAACAAAGCCATGTAGCCACTGTGTTCTAGAAAGATACATTAGCTTTCCATTACTTTAATACCTGAGATAATCAACTTATATAGAGAAAATCATTGGGGCTGGGTCTGTAGTTCAGTGGCAGTGTGCTTGCCTAGCACACATGAGCACTGGGTCTGATTATTAGCACCACATAAAGACAAATAAAATAAAGGCATGCTTTCCCTCTACAACTACAAAAAAAAGAAAAGAAAAGAAGTGTTATTCTGGCTCATGGTTTTAGATGGATGTTCCAGTCCTTGGTTAGGCAGACACAAGGTTTTTAGACTTCTGGTTGGGGTGTGTGATTGCAATTGCAGGGAACGTGTGGCAGTGTGGCCAAGCAAAACCACTCACCTTGTGGCTGGAAAGCAAAAAAAAAAGGGTTCCAAAATTATCTTTGAGGGTACTTCCCCAATGACCTAAAGAACTCTCCCTAGGGGCATGGGAAGAATGGAGGAGCTTTGGATTGGTCAAAGGGGAGGGGTTATGAGGATAGAAAAGATGGTGGAATGAGATGGATATCATCACCCTAGGTACATGTATGATTGCACGAATAGTGTGTCTCTACCCTATGGACAACCAGAGAATTGAAATGTTGCACTATTTGTGTACAATGAATTGAAATGCATTCTGCTGTCATGTACAACTAAATAGAACAAATAAAAAATTTTAAAAGAAGAACAAATTTTTAAATTTTTTTTTAAAAGAAAGAAACCCTCCCTAGACCCCGCCTCTTAAAGGCTTGACCACCTCTCTTGGGAGCAAGTCTTTATCACATGGACCTTTGAGGAACTGTTAAGATCCAAATTATAGCAGCTGTCTCCATGAGAAATAGAGGGAGATACTAGATAGACACACTGCAGTGCTTTCGGCAGAAGGCAGTGAGATTCTCAATTTGCAAAGGAAAAAGAAAGACTGCAGTTTCCCTTTCACACTCAAATGTGAAATGTCCTGATTAAATAAGGGTGATTCATTCTACTTGGGAATGAGGGAAAAGAGGTATAAAATGGGCTTTCTCCTATACCTACACCTGCTGTTAAATGAGGTGGGTGGTTTGCTTTTACTTAACACCACAGGCTGCCCTGGGATGCTAAAATTTAGGGCCTCCTTCTACCTGGCTACTCTGCAGAAGTCTAAGGCCTTCACAGAACCCCTGTCCACATGTGAGTTAGGCCCAGAACCCCTTCTGCCCACATCTTGTCATTCATTTCATTCCTTCAGGACACATGTCAGCCCATTCTTTCTGGTGGCTCCCTCTCTTGCTTTTCCTCTCTTACCACCATTCCCAAGACCAAAAAGTATCAGCTAATCTATTATCCTTCTCTTTCCAACCTCATATTATGCTTCTGATGTGCTAAATAGAATTGAGAGAAAATCTCTTGAGACAATAGTCTGACTTCTCTGCACAGAAGCTGCTGCCTTTGCATCCCTCTATAATAAATTCTAGTCTCTCCAGGCAAAAGGATGCCTGAGTTGGGCTGAAGATCCTGTGGGTCAAAAGATACATCCCTCACACACAGCAGTGAATCTCAAGCTCTGTTAGCTATGTTTGCCATGTTTGTAGCTTGAGTTGTCAGTGTTAGTCCCCTTTCTGTTACTGTGACAAAACACCAGAGAAATTATCTCTTTTTTTAAACTTTTTATTTATTTATGTGGTGCTGAGGATCGAACCCAGGTACTTGTGTATGCAAGGCAAGCGCTCTACCACTGAGCTACAACCCCAACCCCCTAAGAAATTATCTTGAAAGAAGAAAATAGTTATTTTGGCTAATGGTTTCAGTCCACTGTTGATTAGCCTCATCATTTTGGGCCCTTGGCAAGGAAAAAAAAAACAACATGATAAAGAGCATGTGGTGGAGCAAAGCTATTCACCTTATCATGGTCAGGAAGCAGAGAAAGAGCTGGCTTTTATAACAAAAGCCCCTCTCCCCAAATCCTCTAAGTGTTGAATCCATAAATGGATTAATCCATTCATGAAGTCAAAGCCCTCATGACCCCGTGATCTCTGAAAGGACCCACGTGGGAACACTGCTGCATTTGAGACCAAACCTCAAACCATGAGCCTTTTGCCAACATTTAAATCCAAACTATAATATTCTGTCCCTGGACTCCAAGGGTTCCACAGGCTACCCTGGGGTGCTAAAATTTAGGGCCTCCTTCTACCTGGCTACTCACCTGTCCATCTCACAATTCAAAACACAACCAGTCGTCGATCTCTAAGAGTCCTCATAGACTTAACAGTTCCAACATTACTCAAAAGTCCAAGTCTAAAGTCTCCTCCACGACTTCAGGCAAACTCTTAGCTGTGAGCACCTCTAAAAATGATAATAATCAAGTTACATACTTCTAATATACAATGGTAAGGCAGATAGAGGGTAAATATTCTCATTCCAAAAGAGGGGAATGGAGCATGGAAAGAAGAGGATGTGACCAAAGAAAGACTGAAACCCAGCAAGGAAAAAATTAAATCATATAGCTCCATCTCCTGCATCTGGGGAATATGGTAGCATTATGTGAGTTCTGTGGTCTTGGGTAGCCCCACCCCTACAGCTTTGCTGACTGCAGCCCACATGGTGTTTTTCTTAGACTGACTCTACTTGCTGCCTACAACTTTCCTTTCCACATGTTCCACATTTCTGATATCTTAAACTTCCTACAGTCTTGATTGCAGCATTGTCATCACTCTTACAGCTTTATGCATGTCCTGCCAGGGCCTGCCTGCAGGAACTCTGAATCTGCCACACACTTTCTGGCTTGCCAAGCTTTCCTTTGAAAACTCAGTGGAAACCTCTGTGACCCTGTAACGTTTGCATTCTGCATGCCTGCAAAACCAGCACAACGTAGATAACATCAAGGTCGTAGATAACATCAAGGTCGGCTGCCAGTAGCAGCACTAGCTGGCCCCATGGCTACAGAGACCTTGGAGTGCCTAGATGGCTGAACACAGGGAAGCTCATTTTTAGATGGTCCTGTGGGAGCTGGGCTCCCTGGAACTCTTCTTCAAGCAAAGTCCTTCAAGTGATTTACACTTTTACACCCTTGAGCCTTCAAAGGGCAGGTTTTTGCTGACTCCCCAAATGCCCTCAAGGTATCTTTCCAATTGTCCTGGAGCCAAGTACTTGGCTTCTTTTAAATGATGCTACTGTTTTTAACAACTGCACCCTTCTTGGCTACTTCTCACTTCTTTTTTGGCCAAGTTACAAGTTTTTCTAATCTTTCTGCTCTATTTCTTGTAATAAATATTGCTAAAACTAGCCAGTAATATCCATGTCACTGCTTGAATGCTGTGCTGCCTTGAAATATCTTCTGCCAGATTAATTACTTTTAATCTGAGCCTGACACAAACTCTCTCAGGGCATGGACAAAATATAGATATATTCTTTGCTAGAATATAACATGTGAATGGCCTCAGTTCCCATTACCATCTGAAACCTCAT